AAGCTGTCACCTGTCGTTTTAAGCCTTGTATGATGAACAACCAGCAAGCCCTGTGCAAGTGTTGTGTGTCTGCACATAACACTTGATCATTCCTTGAGTTAGATTCCTGTTTTGTTTGTCTTGAATGACACATTGGTCAGTTTTAAGTGGCTCAAACAAAACGATTCCTCTGAAAATGGTCAGGTACAAGTACTGGACTAAAAAGGAGTGAAAAACAGGCCAGTGTTCAAAGAACCTTCAAACGGCCCAGAGAGCTAAGAACTGATTACATATGAAGCATGTCTGGCACCTTGGAAGCAAAACAATAAGGGGAACACCTCTGGAAGGAAAAAAAAAACCACACTGAGTTTCAAGGTTTAAAATTTCTGCAAAATTTACTGCAAATTATCATCAGAACCAAGTAGAGGCATTGGAGAAACAACAAACTCTACCAAAGAATGCTTGACTGGTGTGGTAATTTCAGCTGCTCTGTACAACTCTACTAATCAGTAAAGGTCTGCCTATATGGCAAAACACAGCAGGAATATATCAATATTACTTGCATGTTAAAAACAAAAGAAGAAGAAGAAGAATTTACACCAGCAAATAAAAGTTTTTTTTTGTTGTTTTTATAAAAACACCTCTTCTCCTCCCACCATTTTTTTTGGAAGAGATGCACACACACGCTAAAATAAAGAATGACAATTAGTCTTGCAACATTTGTAGACTGTAAGAGACTGACAATAAATAATTTCTTATAGCAGCATACAGTTTTATATGCAGTTTTTTCATAACACTTTAGCTCTGAGTTTCACTTCCTTTGGCAGACAGCAGATCATATTAACTAGTTACAGTCATTAAGTGGCCAAAATAAACTGGCATATGTCTCGTATTTAAAAAGGGCGTCACATAACACTGTAATTAAGGTTAGGTAACCGATTGGTCTTCACCCCACTTAAATTTGATGAGACAAGGACATCATTAACCTCACAATACATTCATAGAAGCTCTGCAGTGGATGGCTTGCTTCTGCTAAGTTAACAGACTTAACACAGAGGCTATTTTAAAAGCAGGAAAACATTCTACAGTGCAACAGACAAAAGACACGATATTCACAACAGGCCAGTGAAGTTAAGTATAAGTGCTCGCCTCTTTAATGGACAGTATCGTAGGCACGAGACAGGTTTAGGCTGTGCCAAGTCTCAGCTGTCACAACAGTATAAATGTGTGCCTTTTCAAAGCTGTTGAAGTCGGTGGTTACGCTGACAGTGTAAGCGCCCATGTTGTCGACGAGAAGCCAGTCGCCCACGTACAGCTCAGGAATCCAGTAGCTTTCGGTTATTTTGTCGATGCTGTCGCAGGTTGGACCCCAGATGACGGAGCAATATCTCGGTTCGCTCTTCTTAACAGCCTGCAGAGAGGTTATCAACTGAGATATATTAAAAAAAAAAACCCACAACCTGTCTGAACTAACACTATGCTCAATGTTCCAGCAGGCGTTACCACAGTCCTTGATTCTAACCTTAGCACATGATGTCACTGGCCTAAACATGCAGAAACTGCTGCTGTTGACAGCATGGATGTTTAGCACTTTTCACCAGATGTGAAGAGGAAAATAAATAAATAAAACGGTGAAATTCTTTTATAGGGATGCTGTTGATATTTACCCTGTGAGGGTACGGTTCAAGTTTGCTGTGAGCGGGGTCAAAGGTGATGCAACTCATGGAGCCGTACACACCGTCGTTAATGTAGTACATCATCACCTTCTCGGGGCAGCTTCCTGCTCCGTCTGGAGAACACAAACGAGGAATGATGGTTAGCATAACAGCAGCTGAGATGCTCAGAAACTACAACCCTGTACGCTAAGGTGTGTCGAACAGTTACATATCACTGCAACACCTGCGCATTTATTGGCTCTGTCCTCGACGACGACTCTTTTGGCGATGACGTTCACTGCCAGCGTGAAGGCCGATTCCACGTAGTATCTGCCCGGCTCTGCAATCACCTCCAACCCACTGACAGGTGGGAAGAATTCATCCAGCGATCCGTTAATGACTTCCGAGAACTAGGAACACACACGGTTAATAACTTGACTCCATGGCCTTATGCCTCTGCTCACAATACTTACTCTTTAAAAAAAAGGCGGGGGTGTTTTGTGGTAGCGTGGGTTCCTCCCACAGTCCAAAGATGTGCGAGTTAGGTTAATAAATGGTTGCCCGTCTCTGTCTGTGTGTTAACCTGCGATATCCAGGCAACCTGTACCTGTGTGTCTTTACCCATGACAGCTGGGACAGAATCCAGCCCAACTGCGACCCTGCACTGAATAAGTGGGAGAAAATGGATGGATAGTGTTGCAGTGGTTAACTTGCACTATAAGGCAGATCTTATATTTAAAGGCTCCTCCACAACTTGAGTTATGCTTGAACGATCCGGTGTCTGCGTG